CAGGTACGAGTGTACTATCTGTACCCCACACTGCCGTCCAGTGCAACCCTGCGCTTTGAATTTTGCTTGCAAATTGTGAGCACTCGAGTGCTTCTTAGAACGGTTAAATACGGTATTGATTGAAATAATTTTTTTGTGATGTGACAAGTAGATTATGTAGATTGTAATAAATATATGTGTGTTTGTATGTGCAATTATAATAATTATAATACAGTTATATGTACACGTAGTTTGGGCCCCCCGCTTTAGTCCTTGGGCAATGTTTTTTTAAATTTCCACACCCCTTGTATTATAATACAGTACTGCCATTCATTTAGTTCATCCATCCCATGTATCTTATAATGGATACATTCCGTGAATACATGTGCAGACACTTAGATGGAGGTATAAGTGCAGATTGTAATCGGGCTGAAGTATGAACGCTGGGCCCAAAAAATCTAAAGAAAACGGTAATGACACAGCATCCAATCACATCCCTCCTTTAACTTTTCTCAGTTAATGTAAGATGAAACCTAATTTGTAGCAGTTTTTGCATGCAAGAGTGTTTAAGTGTGTATGGTCCTTTTATGCTAGTAACTTATTAACTTGCATTTTAAAGATGAAGTTTAAAATAACAACAAACACCTTTTTAGAAATGACAATCTACAAACACATACTTCTAGATAATTGCAGGTTTTTTATTTATTTCCCAGTCTTCTGACAGTGGCCATGTTAACTAAGGGCAGGTTACTAGCTCTCCCTTTACTTCCTGGAACTCCTAGCACTAGGATGTGACTAGGATATGTGACCATGCACATCATCTCATGGGAGGAAAATGCCTTTCCCTGAAGATCTTATGAGATTACAGATGAGATTTCTCTGCTGATGTAACCTTCACAGGATGCAACGCTTGGGCACATGACATCATTCGTGCCAGAAGTGGACCAGGAAGTAGATGAACTCTATTTGTAAGTAAATGGAAAAACAGGTTTCTGAATGTAAGATAACTTTAAAACGACATGCTGCGCTGAATGCTGATGGGATTTTTAGTGAAAGGGGGTAAGGGCCCTGTCACCATCAAGAGTGTGTTTCAGTGCGTTCAGCCTCTGGAACGCAACCCGGCCGGCTCACTGTTTTGGGGTGGGAGGGGGTGCATTGAACTCAATGGCACTGCAGCCACGCCCCCACCTGCGGTGTGATCGCAGCACTATTTTTTGCAGATCGCATTGCACCAGAACGCAGGCACTATTGTGCCATGCGTTCAAGTACCAGCGATCGCACTGTGGGGGCCGTGGCTGCGGTGCCATTGCGTTCAATGCACCTCCACACCCCCTCCCGCCTCAAAACAAAGTGAGCCGGCCAGGTTGCGTTCGAGGCCAAACACCCTTGATGGTGTGACTGAGCCCTGAAGGTCCACTTTGATGTAGGTCTAATCGAAGGTCAGCTTTTACATTTGGAAATACAGAAAATAATGCAGAGGAAAATTATTTTTTTTCTATGCCAACAAGTTAAATTGTGGCAGAAATTATTCTAGGGAATGTTTGGAATTTTTGGGGGGTTTTTTTTCAAATCTGGCAACACAGATCACCAAGAGGTCAAATTTTCCCATTCTTCTTGATGGACAGCATATGAGAGACAGATCACCACATTTAATGTTAAAAGCAGGCCCTTCAAATGTTCTGCTGTTTGTTTCCTCCGCTTAGAGGAGACAAATTGCCTAGCAACCACTTGGCAGAATTCAAGCTGGTTGGTGGCCATCAATGCCTTCCTCCGTGCCCTGCAATCCAGGAACCGAAGAAGCGGCAGCTCTAGCCACTTTCGCTTGACCGAGTGACGTCAAGCCTGGTTTTCAGCGCAGAAGGTACGGTAAGGGCTTGCTGATTATATATAATTGATTTATTTGGTGGGAGCACCTGCCCATGTTCTAAGGGAATACAACCCCCCTCTTTTTAACCAAATTATGGTGTCGGCTTGGGATCCCTAATTTTTTATATTTAAAAAGGCAAGGGCTTGCTGATGCCTTCTTTGGTGGTCTCTCCCAGTATTGGCATGTGAATACACCACACGTGGAGGAAGTGATACTGCACTATGGATCTCTTTGTGCAGGCTGCTGCTCGGGGATACAGGCAACCTGGCAACCACAGGACAAAGGTAAGGTAGAAATGGCTGCACCTACTTGCTTTTTCTGATGTTTCTAGGTTTTCAACTAGCCTGTAATATATAACCTTGTGCCCCTTTGACTAGGGCCTATGGTTGCGGGGCACAGTTGGGCTCTCTCTCTCTGGGCAGCTTAGGGGTCCTGCCTAATACCCTCTTTTCCTAGTTTGAGGTTCCTAGAAAGCAAGAGGGACCAGCCTCCAAAAGAAATGTGCAAGGCACCATAACAGCCTCCACCTTCCAGTCTTTCATGCCTCTCTTGGTAGACATAAGACTCCCTACCCAAAATGTTGTTGTGCGCAAGTCCCCAATTCCTGTGCTGCCAGCTGTGGGAGATTCTTGCTGAAATGTTAGCAATCCTGATTCCCACTTCTTCTCAATAAGATTCATCTAGTGAGCAAGACTGGCAGGAGAAAACTTTTATTTTCCAGATTTAAGTTTTCTAGAGAATGTTGACAACCTTATTGAGGCCATTTAGATGGCTTTGGATATTCAGGAAGAAAAGGTTCAGTTATCCGGGAATGTCCCCCATTGATGAGGATTTGTCTCTTATTCGAAATAAGTGCCCATGTCTGGATGCTCCCCATTCTAAAGTCTTTAAAATGTGGACCTCGTTTTGGAGACTGTAAGCATTCTGAAAAAATTCTATGGACAAAAAAATTTCCTTCTCAAGAAGGAGTGGGTTTCTACTATTTCAAATTTAAAGCTTCTACATGTATAGCCAGAAATGTAGAATTCTGACTTACACAATTGAAGTTTCATGTGGTATTAGGGATGCCTTTGGAGCAGTTTTTGGACTCCTGCCCTGTTCTTTTTCAAGGCCATGAGTTTCATTGCTGATGCTTCAGACTAGTCTGTTAAAAACCAGCAAATAGGCAAAATCTTTGGCACCTGTCAATTTCTCCTAACATGCTTTGTAGCTAATACCATGGTTGGGGGATTTAGCGTTTAAATTGTGCTGATGTAACCTGCCTTTCTCAGTTGACCTGCTCTTTGGTGCAGAGTTGGAAGCTACTCTTGAGCATGGTTCGGAGAATAAGAAAGATTTTCCTATAAAGAGAAAGAAACCTGTTGAAGATTTTTATTTTTTGTGGCCCAAGAGCCCAGACTCAGGACAGCAAGGAGGTCAAGCCTGACAAGTTCTTGTCAGGCTAGAAAAGCAAGGGTAAAAGAAGGTATATCCTCTTTAACACTCCTACCCAAACTTCCAAAACACAAAGATGGATTGATCCCTGTGGGAGAAAGATTAGGGGGGATAAGGGGGCTTCTCCTATAGTGGGAGCACGTTATCTCAAAATCTTTCATTCTTAGGCTGATTGAGCATACAGGCTGGAGTTCGACAGCCCTATACACTCAAGATTCCTTGTGATGAATCTTGCCAAAGATCCAAAAAAAAAATTCCAGAGCGCTGTCTCTTGCCTTGGGGAATATGAAGGTCATGATTCCTGTTCTTCGAGAACAATAAAGCAGACGCTTCTACTTTCACGCTTTTGTAGTAAAGAAACCTTTGGGCAAATTACATCTTATGCTCAACCTCAAATCCATAAGATACAAGAAGTTCTACATAGATTTATTTTTTTCTGTCAAGACAATCCTGCAGTCATGTTGTTTTATGACGATCCTAGATTTAAGCGATGCGTACCTCCATATTCCCATCAGGAGGAGCTCTCTGCCTGGTGGTGAAGATGGGTGCAGAAGTGCTGCATTTTCAGTTTACAACCTTTCTGTTTGGCCTCTCCTCAGCCACAAGGATATTTTCCAA